CTTTTGGAATCCGAATTCCTGGGCTTTGGACTCTGGAATCCCACTAACAATTGGAATCCAGAATCCAAGTTCCTCAGACAAAAAGTGGAATCAAGAATCCACGGCCTGCATTTCAGAATCCAAGATTGTCTCTGATTCCCTTACCTGGGGAATTGCAACATCCAGAATAATCAACGTCAAGGTATGGCGTTTATGGCCAAGGCTGATAACACTTACTGAGACCGTGACTATTCTGGATATCACAAAAACTTATCCAATAATATTATTGCTTATTATTAACATCATCATCATCATCATCATCATTACTGCCATCACATATTTCTCTATTCAAGCTGCCAGGAGCCTCTAACTACATTAAGACGCTAAAAGTATGTTTAAATACACATTAGTTAAGATTTACTAGTTAACCTTGTGTGTTGAGATAATAATGCCGCCACAATGGGCGGAGTTTCTGTAGTCCACCAACATCCCATAGAGTGAATTTTAAGCTACGGTGTTCAACTGTCTCCACATTAAAACCTGATGAGAAAAAATAATTCTCATTATTTTATAGTGTAACTTGAATGAATTGAAAGCATAAACGTTTACCATAACAGGTAAAGTTCAGTGATGGATTCAGCCCTTCAGATAAGAGGAGCAAGGGGGGGGCAGTCATCCAGACCCTTAGATAAATTTTTTTTTCGGCCCTTCAGGCCTCAGTTTGGTCTAAAAATAAGGTGGAAGGGCCCCCCAGGCCCCTCCCCTGGATCCCCCACTGAAGTTCATCTTAATTTTATAAAGAACCAAAGGTTTGGTTTATATTTACCAATGGTTGTGATTGGTGAGACAAATTCATCCTGTTTCATTTTGAACAAAATTGAAGTTTTCCCAGCACCATCAAGTCCCAGTACAACAAGCCGCATCTCCATTTTTGGACCAATATGAACTCTATTGTCCTTTGTAAAGGCCACAGGGATGGCAGCATCAGTATCACACAGGCTTGCTATGTTAGTAAACTGCTCCTGTTGCTCTTGTACTGTTTCCAGGAGACTGTGAATACTGTTTCTGGCTTCTATCACCTGAAAGTATATTTTTGGTAACAAAATATTAATGTACAGTGGATATACTTCGGCCACCAGTTGTTCATAAGGTGGATAGAGCTATCCACTGGATAAATCTCCATCCGGTGGATGACACTATAATATTAGTTTTCCTAATACTTATCTACTGGAAAGTGATTTTTCTGGTTGATAGTGCTTCCTATCCACCATTTGAACAACTGACAGCTGATTTAAGAAAGGAAATTGTAAAGACAATTATATCATGAGGCTAGCCAGCAATGCTAATTTACTTTAACTTACCTGAATTTATCAGAATAATATGATCATGATATAGGGGCCATGATGTATTAACAATATGATACATTACTGTGCATGACAAGACTAGTTACCAACAACCGTAAAGCTGTAACAAGAACTTATTTCGCTTGTCAAGGCAATAAGTTGGTACAGCTGACAAGTGACAAATACAGGTCAATCTGAATTTCTCAAAACACTTCAGCCGGGTAACCCTGGATGAAAGCAGGATGAATTCTGGTGGTCCGAATGCAATCTTCTTGCCTTGCCTGCTGTATTTTCACATCATAAGCATCCCATTTAACTGCAGTGATACAGCTTTAAGAGTTGCAGAAGCTATGAAAGGCACGAAAATTTTTGTGTTTCGCCATGTTTGCTGTGTTTCTCGAATTTGGTGCCAGGACCCGTCCCCAGGATCTTTGACCTTTTCTCCTCTCGAAAACCGGGCTGAAATTTCTCATATGAACCCAAGGTGAAATTCATCCCGGTAACCGGGCTCATGTCAAGAGGCCCTGAATCAGTATACTGTTGCAGCACTACTCTACAAATATGTCAGCTTACCTCAGCATCACTTCTCTTTAATGCTCTCTCACATTCCACACATACAGATGTAACTTGTGACATAAGAACAGCCATATCTTCCTGTTGCTGACGTAGGGACAGCAACTTTTCTCGAACATAATTATTCACCACAGCAAGCCCAGCTTCTTCTTGTCTGTTGACTGTCTCACGTAGATCATCAAAATATGCCCGCACCTTGTGTCTGGCCTCTTCAGCTGTACCGTTCAGATGCTGAGCAATAACATTACCATGGTCACCCTCGTGCATTGCAACTCCACCTAAAGTACAAGCAATTTTAACAAGTTGACAACCGGCACCAAATCAGAAGACAGAAACACTTAATTCTAAAAAAATTAAATACTGCTGTAATAAATAATAAGCCAAATAGACTTAAATTTTTATAATACCAAATGTCTGTGAAGTTTTAAGTGGAAGAATGTGGTGTTACACAAGGCTGCTGCCTAACGGGTGCCCAATCGCCAGAGGCTCTGACGGAGACCGCATGGTCACCTAAAACTTATGATTCTCATGGCAATAGCCTCTATGCCTACTTCCAGTGAATGAAAACAGAATTCCCTGCTCATTTTGTGCTTTTGAAACGAAAACAAAAAACTTTTGTTTGTCGACAATACGCAAAAAATTTCCACTGATAAAAGTAAACAAACAAGAACTTTTGTGGAAATTCGAAACTCAATCATATCGAGTTTCAAGAAGTGTAAATCAAGTTTCTAGCGTCTGCTTTCTTATTTAAGTTTATCGATCAATAGGCTCCCAGAAATCTGCCAAAAATGTTCTTGGCCAGCAGCCTTGTTATAATAACAATATTATTATTGATTAGAGTAACTGGGGGTGGGGAAGCAGACAGGGGTAAACCAAAACCCTCCACCGACGGGGTATGGATGTTTTCTGGAACAATAAATTAGATTTTAGCTACCTTCAATTGCCTCAATAACTGAAGTAAGCTTGGCTGCTGACCCATCTACTTCACCAGTAAACGTCCTGACATGCTGAATGACATTAGTCACAGATGCACGCATATTTTCCGCTTCATTTTCTAAGAGGGTATGTTTGTGTCCTTGATGCTTTCCATAGTCACGGCACACAAAACACATCAAGGAGTTATCTCTACATCCTTCCTCTAAGCAAGTAAATTCAATCACGTGGGCAGAATGCTGTGTGCATTTGGGCTTCTCCTTGGGTCGCTCTGAGACTGGAATTCTCCTGTGCTTTACAAGGGTTTTTGTGGAATGGGTTATCTCTTCACAATCACGACACAAATTGGTTTCACAAACTGTACAATAAATACTTGCTGTATGTTCTTCATTCTCATCACATTGCACTGTATCACTCCCACTATCAATGTCAGGAGATGTTAGTGGTTCATTCAGAACTTGCAGACGTTCAAGAAGTTCCAATAAAGCAAAGTTTTTCTTAAGTCCCCAAACACCGGAGTCACTCAATTCTGTTGACTGTCTATCAAAGGGACAATGAAGCAGTCGCCCATTTACAGGAAGGCGTGTCAGACAGTCATGACATACTGTATGTCCACACAATAACAACCTTGGAACTTTGTCACCCTGAAGTTTAAATACATCTTCACAAACTCGACATTCCAACACCTAAAACATAGACAACATACCTTTACTTGCAAACAACAATTTGGAGAATTGGCAAATAATCACAACTGACACAACTGAATGCTCACTAATAATAGTAATAATAATAATAATAATAATAATAATAATAATAATAATAATAATAAGCAACAAAAAATAAATAAATAACCTGAAGCTCAGGGGAGAATGGGTTAATATAATATACTAGCCATTTTTAATAGCCCATATTCTTTATATCAAAATTCTAGCATAACTGTGAGGCTTTAATTAGGAACAAATGTAACACATCTAACACCATGTAACACCGTGTAACAACATATAAAACCGCGTAACACCATGTAACACCATGTAACATCATGTAACACGGTGTAACACAATGAAACACCATGTAACACAGTGTAACACCGTGTAACACCATGTAAAACCATGTAACACCATGTAACACCATGTAACACTATGTAACACCCTGTAAAACCATGTAACACCATGTAACACCACGTAACAACATGTAATACCATGTAACAAAATAAAACACCGCATAACACCATATAATACCATGTAACACTGTGCAGCACCCTGTAACACCATGTAACACCCTGAATCATGCTGTAAAACCATGTAACACCGACTAACACTGTGTAACACCATGTAACACCATGTCACACCATGTAACACCATGTAACATCATGTAACACCATATAACAACATGTAACACCAAGCAAGGAACCTGAAGTGATATTGTTATTGGAAATCATGCATTGCGTGCACAAAATACAGATTAGTTCGTTATCTGCTAGCAGATAACTAACGCTGATTTCCGAAATTAGCTGTAGGCCCTCAGCCAATGAGAAGACGGATAGTGAATACAATGTATAATAATAATAATACTTTAATTATTCTTTTCCCTTATTGGGCTTTTCAGGGATAATGAAACACATAATTTAAATTGAACATAATATGGTTAAGAATCCCAACTGGCAGGAGGCGAATTGGGCCGAATCAGTTGGCTATTCTACAAACGTGGTGGAGGATTTGAACTCGGGACCCAGCTAGCAGTAGAGGAGGGACTTGAACTCGGGGACTAAAAGTCCAGCGCTCTAACCATTTGGCCACGCTCCCTCCCAAAAATAAATCCTACGAATACCAATATATAACTGACAGTATTTAGGTCTAAGAAACGAGAAAAAACGAAGGAAATTCTAACCTGCCTTGGGAGGGGTGTATGACAACGGATAATTTCTAACCTACAATAACTATATCGTATTACTTACAAGGAAAATAAGTAACTCATGTCTATTATAATATACCGAATGAGCATTTAAGTAAACTTACATTCTGTCGAGCCTTTGCTTTAGGTAATAAAGGTGTCGCAGAAGCCATGTATTAAAAACGTATCAAGCGGCTGGAAACTGTAGAGTTGACTGTGATCAGCCTGTGATCCAAACACTGATTGAACAGCGGAGATGAATATCAGTACACGCGCACAAAAGTAACGCGTATTTTTAGGGAGGAAGCCGCTGGTCTTGGTCTTGGCGTTCGCTTCAAAACAAAATGGACGCTGGACTCAGAGAAAGGGAACATTCGTTGACTTTGAAAGGTATATTTCTATTTGTATTTGTTCGTATACCTTGTACAGATTGTTGCTGTTTTATCATCCACATCTCCTAGTGATGTTCGGTGGACTCTTTCTTGCCTGCAAAAGGTGTTCAAGCTTCATAGCTTCTTTTTTGTAGTTTTCTGGTGGGATCTCCTCCAGGGATCTCTCGAAATGCAGCGGAAAATTAGTAATCGCATTTAGCATACTAAAACTATTTCCATTCTCTTCAGCTTCCACTGGACAACCAAATCTTTAAAAAGATGCTCATGACCCCCCTCCCCCTCCCCCTCCCTTTCCACCCTCGCAGGTAAACAGAAGTGATTGCTCAATAAAAATTAATTATTGTGATTCTCTTCAGCAGTGATTTACTGGAAATTTTGTGTACCTACACTTCAGTAACTTGCTGCCAAATAGTGGGTGGGCCTTATTTCATAGGTGCTGTTGAATAGAGTATTACATGTAATAAAGTATTTTTAAATTTTACTTTGTAGTCATGAGACTGACTAGACCATCACTGTACACTAGTGTACCTGTAACAAATGAATCTCAAGATCTGCCAGGTAAATCACATTACTTGTAAAAATTTTTATTAGCAGATTATGTGGAAAGTTTTCCTTTGTATTCTGCTCATGATGTATCCCATCAATAGTAGTGCGGCAGGGGTACTTTGCTGAAAGCCAAATGCAGAACACCTAATGACTCTGACTTTAGTGACTGGGGTTAGAAAACTAGGTGAATCAGGTTCCATTATTTTAGGGTCATTAAACTAAGAAAACAGACCTGAAACTTTATTCACTCAGTTTCCTCACCCTAGTCACCAAACTTAAGAGTCATTCAGTGTTCTGCATTGTTGAATGCTGAATCAGATGCAGAATGCCAATGCCGGTACAGGTGTCACTTTCACCCCGTAAACAACCATGCAGCAGCCTGCTTTATTTTGACAAGCATAAGTTTTCATCACTAACTGTAAGTTTTATTGCGTGCAGGAATTCCCCCGGCCCTTAGTGATAACCCTGGACTCTACTTTATTACTTTTATTGCGACACCTTACAAAGGTTCTACATCACGTATATCATAGGGCCATTTTTGTGGCGTATCGAAAATCTATCTGGCTGGCATTTATACCACATACCAGTATTATTTTTTGTTTATATCAATTTTCACCAGCTTTTTATCAAACCCAACATATACAGTAAGTAATACATGTATGTATGTATTAGCTAATAACAATGATGATGAAATAATAATAATCATAATCATTATAACTAGTATAATAAAAAATTATTATAAATTGTAATGATACACTTAACAATAGTTAGTAAAATGGTTTTTCTTAGGAGATACATTTGAGGATGCACATCTATCCGATATAACTTCAGTAAAAGGACTCAGTACCTTTGCTTTAGGGGAATTATTTGTTTTGCCACAGACATTCGGGTAAGTTGAACTGAGATATACTTACTGGTAGTTTGGGACTTAATGTTATGTCATTTGTAGTTTAACCATTGTGAAAACTGATGAATGGTTATGAACAACAACCATTAATTTTATAAGCTAGATCTGTTCCCTTTCAATACATGTACATTATTTAATCAACTAATAATGACAGCCAATGTGATTGCCAGCCAATAATGTACAAAAGGTAGTAATATTACACAGAACTTTAAACTTTTAATAATATTATTATTTTAATAATAATAATAATAATAATAATAATAATAATAATAATAATAATATTTTATTAACTATTTCTTTTTCTTCACATCACAGAAATATTTTCCTTGGTGAAGTTTTTTCAAGTTATGTTAGTGTCCACAATGACAGTAACCAGCCAGTTAAAGATATTGTTATTAAGGTCTGTATAAAATAAATCTACATTTACTTGTAACTACTATGGAAGCTCTTGTAAGCATTCATCCACTGGACATCAAAAAGGTATTTGTTACTGGAGCTGACCGCTTACAAGAATGTAAAAATACAAAGTTTGTATGGGAGTTGAGGGAAGTGGGGCCTTGTGAAGGCGGCCTTGCTGTCTGCTTACGAGAGCTAGTGTTTGGCTTCCACTGTAATACATTGTAAATACTGTACATAGATCTTTTGTAAATCAATTTTCAATTGCTACAACTAATTCATAATAAAATATAGTATGAAATAAATATATATGCTCTGTAAGACATGCAGAGAAAATCATCTCGGGCATAAGCAATGGCCATGCTACATTGTATAGATCTTTTAGGAAAATAAGAATTTAATTACAGTCTCAAATGCAGACTTATACCAGTCTTTCTGCAGAAACTGAGAAATTGGAGCCTCTGCAAAGTTAAATCAACTGCCTTGAGTTTGTTTCTTGACATGTTTCAATACTGGATAGTCTGGACCTTTGTGGAAGTATTTAATAACATAATACCAAGTTCAAGGAGATTGATTAAGTCATTACACTACCACTTTCTTTCAAAATTTCAGACTGATTTGCAAACATCATCTCAAAGATTGACTCTGTCTGGTACATCTAACATGCCAGTTCCTAAACTTGATCCAGAAGAGAGCTTTGATCAGGTTATTCACCACGAAGTGAAAGAACTGGGAACACACATGTGAGTTTTCACAAATAAAAGTCATCCGTGAGCTTCAACCAGATTTTTCTTGCAATAAAATGCCAGTTGCCCATTATTCATGCACTGTTCTTTTGCTTCTTAGCCACATTTATGTTCTGGAATTGGGTAAAGGATTCTTGAAAACACACAATGTGCTGTTTCATAAAAATAGGCTGATTTAGCAACAGAACGGGAATGTCAGTTGACAACAGTATGCACAAACCAAACAACTGGCTTGACCAATTGCGGAGAGGCAAATTGGGCACGAGAAGTTGAGTTTACTCCTTTCTGCTTGCTTTCCCCTTTCTGTAGCTAAATCAGCCTAATATTGAAAGAATATTGATATTCCCTGGCCTCTCTCAAGAGAGTACAATATAGACAAAACACTAACAAACTTGTGTACAGCGCATGTTCATGTGTTCCAGATTTATTGAAGTGCTGGTTTCTGCATGAGGAGAGGTGAAATCCTGTCAGAGAAAGGTAGCCGGATTCTGAGGCCCACCAAATGTGGGCATAGGTCTGAACTAAAGCTTGCAATTGGCCACATCGGCAAAGGGGAAAGTCCTCTCACCACTCAGCCTTCCTTCCCCACCCACTCCCCACCAAAGAAACAACAATTAATGGCCACAAATCCTTTGAGGGGTCCTGTCAATTGCCAAGTAGTGTGCCAATATACTGGCCATGTGGATTGAACAACACAAATGTTTGTTGCAACAATTTTGTTTTACTTTTCCTTACAGACTTGTTTGTGCTGTGAGCTATGCAACCATAAATGGTGATAAAATGTACTTTAGGAAATTCTTTAAATTTCAGGTGATTAATTTTGAATTACAGAAAATGCTACAACTTTTAAACTATAAATAAACTCTACAAGGTTCATGCCTTTCTCAACTGATTTTAACTCCACTAGGTCCTTAAACCTCTTGATGTTAAAACAAAGTTTTATAATGCCATGGTAAGCATGAAACTCTTCTTTTGTTTGTGTTTTAGATGGCTTTTCTCATGCAGTCATTTGTATTCATTATATTGATACCATGGTTAATTAAACTCCTGAGGGTTTTGTTTTTTGTTTGGTGCAAGGATGATGAAGTATTTCTTGAAGCACAAGTACAGAACATAACTTCAAGTCCTATGGTAATGGAGTCAGTACAATTGGAGCCCTCAGCCGTTTACACTGTCACAGACCTCAATTTCATCCCAGCTGACCAGAAAAAGGATGTTAGTGGGTGAGATGAGACAGTGTACATCTAATGACTTACATTGTAACATTTCTTTGGGAAATTATTGGATCACCCTTTTTTTCTGGGGGGGAGGTCTGAGATAAGCGCTGTCATTAGTTGCAGGCAGTTGGCTTGTTTGGCCAGCTACTGCAGCAGTAAAATCAGCCAGCTACTCAAATTTGAAAATGTCAAACATAGCAAATATGGGAAGATTTGTGGGATAAATGACCAGCTACTTTTTCTACAGGACTAGCCACTTAAAATCATGCATAATGACTGCCCTGAAAGTTAGGGACAATTTCTCCAGGAGACCTCACCTGTTGGCTTCACCCTCACTCCCAGGGGTAATTTCCACCTTTGGTACTGTACACTAAACATAATAGGAGTAACTGAAAGAACTCTGTTTTACATTAACAGGGATGAAGCTGTCGCAGAGAGTATATTTGGACGAGGATCGTACATGAACCCAAATGACACAAGGCAGTATCTGTACAAGCTGACACCAGTGCAACCCACTTACAAGAATGTTAAGGTATGAGAACTGCCTCATTATCAAGCATAATTATATGTGAGTCATTCCTCTCTTTAAGGTTTCAGTCACTGATTTATTTATGACTCACTGGAGGGGTTAGAGAAATCCTCCAATGAACGAAAACTTCACAGCCCACCCCTTGACTTCACTCATACTTTACTCAAAACTACAAGACTTCCAAATAATTATTATTGATATGCTCCAACCACCTCCTCCCCTCCCCTACCCCCCAACCTAAACACAGATGTTTCCCCTAAATGAGCTGGAGGCGTGTGGCACTGTTTTATTTTTTTTCTTTATAACTAGGTTGCAAATGTTGTGGGGAAGTTGGACATTGTATGGAGAACAGCATTTGGAGAAAGGGGTAGACTTCAAACCAGCCAATTACAGAGAGTTGTGAGTACATTATCAAAACAATTAAATGCTCTTAACATTCTCCATTGTAGACCCTAAAAGATAAACAATAAACTCCTTACAGTGTCAAGAAATACCATGTAGTTAAAGACGGGGAAGACAATTTGCAAAAGCATTGAACAGAGCATTTTAACATGACGTCACGACAGCCATATTGGTGTTCCAAACCAATTCTGTTGGAGCTGGACTCGTTTCTTCTTTAAACGCTTTCTTTTGTTCGAATAGATTTGCATAGATGCTGGCCATGAGAGCGAAAATGCTCTATAGTCACTGATCATTTGACATTGGCTCTTCCTATCAGTGCAAAACCATAGGGGAAGGTGGTGAAGAAGATTGGAGGATAAATGATACAAAATAAAATAAACGATAAATAAATAAAATAAAAGTACAATCTGAATTGAGAAGTTACTAAGTGGAAAGAAGCTGAAAGTTGAGCAGTGCGAAGATTATAATTCCATATAGTTTAACAGATAATGTGGCAATTAAAGACCTTTTCCTCATTCGTTAAACAAAGGAACCGTCTCATTGTCACCATGTTTTCTCTTTACACCTAAAAGGTGCGTAAGGTTATTCCCAGGACTTAGAAGCTTCAAAATTGCCCGTAAGATATCCTTGTCATTTTGTGGTAGCTATGTTCAGCAAATGAAGCCAAACATCTTCCCATGTACATGCAGTGATAAATAGTGATGGTTCAATTTGTGGAGACAATAATCATTATTAACAGAATATCATTTTAAAATTTTTTCAGCCTCCTCCTGTGTTAGACATCAAAATGAGCATTGTTCAAATCCCAGATGCCGTTTTAGTGGAAAACAGGTTCCCACTGAAAATAAAACTCAGAAACACTTGGTAAGTAGTGTTTTCAGCAGAAGTTGACCCTTTGAGCCCTAATAATTATCAAAGTTAAATTCCCATTGTTGTAACTTTACTATACAAATAGTGGAGAGAAGTTGTCAAAGTTATCAATAATATTCATCTTTCGTCAAGTCCTTAATTTTGAGTGATGTTCATCGCTTTTGGGTCTAAAAGATTTAAGAAAACCACTTAATTATGATCAAAAGAGTTTTTACAGTGTACCTGAATATCAAGCAGGACTGGCTTACTTGGTCTAAAAGTAAAGAAGACATGGAAATTTTACCACTGGGTACATAATATTCACGATTTGTGAATTCTTGTTTTTATCAGTGATAGAAAGATGGAACTGAAACTGTTTATGACCAAAAGTAAAGATGGTGGACTGATGTGGTGTGGTACATCTGGAAAGGTACGTCTTGAATATTCTGAAACTTTGAAACACTTTGTTAATTGTATGGTATTGTAATAAACAGCATCATAAGAAATTACTCTTCGGTAGATTTCTCTTTTTCTACTCATACATCACCAAAATGCCTGCCATCAGAAAACCCCTTATGGTAACGAAGGTGAGGTAGGATTTTCATTGAAACAAGATCTTGACCTGTAACGTTTCTAAAGCAGTTTTCTGTTGGTATTGTTGTAGAATCTAGGTCCTCTTCTTCCAGGAAATTCAGTGGAATTACATTTCAATCTTCTCCCTCTCGCTGCTGGAATGCAGGTATATGATTCATAGTTTCAATGCAATTATGATTAAGATTGAAATTTTGAGTTCTCTAACAGTCCTGTACTTTTGCATTGTTTCATTAATCCAAGGGCAGTGTTATGTTGATTTACTTCTACAGGGGCGGATCTAGGGGGAGGGTGCAGGGGGTGCGCACCCCCCCCCCTTCCTGAGATGACCTGCGATTTTCTAATACAAGTGGTATTCTGCCAAAAAAAAACTATGTGGTTTATTGGTGTTGAAGTAGAGCAAAAGACAAGTGCACCCCCTCCTAAAAAAAATGCTGGATCCGCCCCTGTTCTATATATTCGGTTCAAATAATAATTTATTTTCAATACTAATCATCTTTCCCATATGTGAACTCAACTGGTTTTGGATAATATCACGTAACTACGATACGGTCAGCTCACAGATTGTTTCACATCCATCCAGTTGTCTCTGTTAAGAACAAAAACAGCTGAGACTGCTACACCCTGTCTCTTTTACATTTTTTACTCTTTGTGGACAAAAAAGAACAGATGGGGACTTTACAATTTCTGGCAATGACAACGTCTGGTGCTTATATCTCTGTGTCTTACAGATAAGTTCCTCTACTGTCCCTGTAATTTCCCACTTGTGTCCTTGCTGTAGGCTTCTTGTGTCGTGCTAGTGTCCATCTAGTTCACATTAATTTTTGTGCCCCAACCTGTAGTTCACCTCTTGTGCCCTGTGGTGTTCCTCTAGTATGACACCCCTGTATTTCACCTCCTTTGCCCTGTGGTGCTCCTCTAGTATGACTCATGTTCCTCCAGTTTCCTTCGTGTACCCCTGTATTTCACCTCTTTTGCCCCTTTAGTGTTCTTATTGTGTCCCTTTAGTTTCCTTCTTGTCCCCCTCTAGTGTACCCCTTGTACCCTGTGGTGTCCCTCTTGTGCATCTTGTGTCCTTCTAGAGTCCCTTTTGTGTCCCTCCTAATCTCCTTCTTAGACAAGTAGTTCGTTATACCCCACAAAGGAAGGAAAAATAACTACCATCAACTGACATGATAAAACTCACTTTGGCTCTAAAGATGACTACCTCCTCACAGGTTGTCAAAATGCCAGTCACTGTCAACAACAATCCTATTCAGGGCTACACTTACGAGCACAATCACGTTTCACCTACTGATAAACTGTTTTTCTTTTATTGCTTTCAGAGTGTTGGAGGCTTGCAAATCATAGACACAATTTCTTCACGGACTTACGAGTTGGATAACTTGGCACAAGTTTTTGTTTACTCATCAGAACTTTCACCATTCATTCATCAATCCAAGAGATGACCAATTTGGCTCAATAACAATAAACAGAGACTTTATAAAGAATCGATTTGAAGCCATAACTACGGTAATTTATATGGAAACTTCTGCAACAAAAGACAAAGAAACTGCTCAGAGAAGAAAAGAGATATTAATGACAAAGAAAACAGATGTCAGTGGGTGTCTAATAACATTCTGACCACTTACAGGAATGTGCTTTAGCTGCGCCCGGTGCCCCCTGGTCCCCAACTTTTGTTGCTCTCAGGGGACTAGAAAATCTGAGTTTCTTCATACAAACAATAATTATGTTGAGCACCAGGTTTTACAGGGCCAGAACTCGGAGCTGCCTTCAATTTTGCATAGAGCATAGCCTTGACTTATTAACATCATCATCATCATCATCATCACATAGTTCTCTCTTGATGGTAGACAGGACAGACAATGAAAAGATCAATGAGTGTACCCCGCACCCCAGTGTTAAAGATAAACAACATATCCATATAATTTCTGCATTATCTCTTTATTAACTGTTACACCTTACCTCTGCTTTCTACATAAGACCAAAGAATAAAATGATTGGTTCATAAACTTAAAAACCTTTCAAATTAGGCCTTGACAAGGCTTCGTTATCTGTGAATCGAGCAGGTGTTTCTTAAATCAACAGTCGAACTGAACTTCTCATTTGAGCTAGCATGACCGTGAAATCTGAACAAAAACTAGTGGTATGTTCCTTAACAATGAGAGGATAAAAGCCGAGAAAGCTAATCAGCCATGATTCGCCCTGTTTTGGAGGTAATCTCTTTCTCTGTTTATCTGTAGTGACAAAACAACAAGAAATTCAAACTTGTCCTCTTAGTTATTTTCAGATCTTGATAGTTTTGTTGGGGAATATGTCACAAATTTGGTGCCAGTTTTTGGTTTTATTATTATGGGGTATCTAATGATGGTATATGAAAGATAGTATCCACTCTAAAGATACAGCATTTTTGAAAATTGCATTTTCCATAATTTTCTGTGACTAATAATAACTTAAGAGAAATTTCCAAGAAGTTCTATCAGAGGAATAAGGTTTCTTTTTTTTTTCTGATCCTTTCTGTTCTCTCTTGTACCAAGCATTAACGTGGACATCTGCATCTAAAAATAATTCTCTAGGGTATGCACTTGTCTAGGTAAGATGTAAATAAAGATATCTTATAGATCTGCCACTCTTCAGTTCCATTTTTTATGTCATCCTTTCTAAGATATACAATATCTATATATAGTCAGCCACTGTTTAGTGCTTTTCTTCTTTTTAATGAAATGATTTTTGGCAAAGATACATGTGGAGAAGTTGGCACGAATTTCGGCTTGAGGCATAAGAAGGCACTAGAATATCAGCAAACACCAAGGATGCTTTCATATACTTGTACAGCTGGAGTTACCTTCCCAAGCTGGGCATTGAGCATTATCACCATTAAATGCAGCAAAGTTTGCCATCTGCATACAAAATAGCCAGTTTGTGTGATGTGTCTATAAAATCAGGGTTGAAGTACATAATCCAAGTATAAAGAAGGAGGCTGAAGAAAATCAACATTTTCCATTTGCCATCTGCATGATAAATATCCAGGTGTGATAATCATATCAGGGTGGACCTTTTGTATCCAAGATTAAGGCCATCCCAACAACAGGTTGAAACAGTTTCTATCTGCATGTATAAACATCTGCTGTATGCATCATAAATAGCCAGCTGTGTGTTCATTACATGTACATCACGGTGTAACTTCCTCATCCAAATTTGAACCCAGTCCAACAACAGGCTGTAGAAAATTTCCCTCAGCAAAAAAGGACCCATTGATAAACATCTTGTGTGGCAAACAGGTTCATTGTCGGACACCTTGTGACAAAGAGTGAAAAATATTACGTACATGTATAGGAAGCAACACTCAGACATGTTAACAACCAGGGGCCCGTTTCTCGAAAGTCCCGATAATTAACGGGCCCGTAAAGCTGTTGTTGTTTACATGCAAGGTAGTGTTTTCAATAGTTTTTCATCTAGCATGATAAAACTATCAGTTAATGAAACACAATGGAGTAGTTTGCTAGCCAGAACCCGCGCTCTTATTCTTTATATTTCGATTTGAAAATTTGATTTCGGGCCCAAAAAGTTACCGGGACTTTCGAGAAACGGGCCCCAGGCCCTGGTTGATCAAAAGTTGGATAGCGCTATCCAACGGATAAATCACTATCCAGTGGACAAGTATTACAAAAACCGATTGCACTATCCACTGGATAGTGATTTATCTGGTGGATAGCATTATCCACCTTTTGAACCACCGAGCCCAGGCCCCAATTAAAAAGGTGGATAGCACTAAGCACTGGACAAATCTCTATCTAGTGGATAATGTATTGGAGTGATTATAGCAGAGCTCTCGCCCGCACAAAACATGTGCCAGCGAAGCACCATGAATAAGTAAATCTACCCATCCCAGAAAATTTGGTAATCATGTGACCATACACCGAGCAACTGTCTGTTCACACCACAGGCATACCAATGCAAAAATGACTCAATCAACAGGTATGGCAACCCAAATGCAACTCGAGGTTATCAGGGTTGTCAAAAGTAGCTTACTGAAGGCAAAAATTGCTGCCTTCTTGGTTAGAATCGGCCGGCTACTCTGCTTAACATTTCTTTATGGATGGCGTTTTGTTAAATAGAATATCCCTGAACTAGCTGCTTTCTTTGACAACTCAGCCGTCTACTTCAAAACTTTCTGACAACCCTGGGTTATTTTGGTAGGAAATTGCATAGCCACCTGCGTCACAACTAAAGATGTCAATAAAGACGAAAACAGAAGGCACAAATTGTTTGTGTATCTGTGTTGTCTAAAGTATTAAGCTTAGATTAATTGTCATGCCCACAAATTTGGAATCAGAAATCTGAAAAAAATGGACTAAACTCCCACAGCAAAGGCCATTTTAAAATCTTTGAGGATCATTTCCTTCTCCATCGTTAACATGTTACAAGTAGTTATGGTGGATAACACAAAATTAATGATTTTGGCTGGTTCGGCGAATAGACAAGATCAAGTGAAAACTTTGATATGATTGGCTACCTGATCGAACAAAATGGGTCTATCTTGCTCACTTAACACTTGGTCCCACAAGATCAGATTTTGTTATGGCCACATAGTAAATCATTACTGGTAACTGACCAAGCTTATTCAGTCAAAATGGTGGCTTGATATTGGCCTCATTTATTTTCTTTCTTTCTTCATTTTTTCTTTTGCATTCATGTAAAATTTTGACTTTGTCCCGGTCCTTAATAAATACATAAAAAAACTTGGCCAATATACAGTCATCTTGATCTGACCTCATGCTTGGTCAATAACACATACATATGTATACTGGTAATATTGTCAAAAGTTTACAGTGAAACCTCGATGTAACAAAGAGCCAAGGTACTACAATGAGGGACAAAGTACTGACACACTTCCATAAAATGGCCCTTTTTTGCATAGTGGATATACTTATCCCCTTCCCTTGTCTACCCCAACCCCTTCCCCCCACAGTCAATGTTGAATTTTGGACCCTCAAGTCCTTTTTTTTCCTTCAGACAACATTGATTCGGGGGGTGAGGGGATTTACGGCGTTTAAAAGGAATGAAATAATAAATGAATTAAATGTTTGTTAAAAGCACCCGTTTTAAACAACTGTGTCAACTACTTTTGTCCCTGATTGTAGCAAAATTTGTTTGCTATAGCAAGGGTTCATTATATCAAGGTTCTTTTCCATATATTTTACTATTACTGGGGAAAAGGAAATAATTCGCTATACCGAAGACTTCGTTGTATAGAGGTTTGTTATATTAAGGTTCTACTGTACTAGCAAATGAAGGCATGCAGTGGACATCGAATGAATGGAGAAGTTCAAATGAACACTTTCTAGTTCATTCAATACAAACATGAGTGCACCTGTGAAGCATAGACTCACCCAAGCGATACAATAAAGTGATGGTTAATGGTTTTGACCAGGACTTTGTTCTACAACTGAGCTATCAGAAGCCTGTTGCCAGGAGCGATACCCTGTGGTTGTGCCTCCAAACCTCTCTAATTCACTTTCAGTGTTGGTATGACTGGGCAGAAAATAATTGCTGTTGTGTTCCTCATATTCGGACTGAGTCTCATTTGAGCGGGGCCCCCACCGTCTTGTCAATGATGTTCCAATGCTCACTCTTCCATCTGAGTATTAAGAGATCTTTGTTAAAAAATTTAACCCTTTGTCCTAAATCTTGCAACATTCAGATTGTCTATAACCTGCAGAACAATGATCAAAAAATGGGGTGGGGTGGGGTGGCTGGGGGTCACTGTTATTAAAGCTTATTACTCTGGTATTTCAAGAATAAATTATTTGGTCTTGGTAAAAGAAGCTGGCTTTGTTTCTCTCTTCCAAGAAAAAGGGAGAACTCTTGATAATTATGGTGGTGGCCTACAGCTGTTTGTTCCCTTGCATCAACTAGGGCCTCACGAAAAATATTTGTGAAAGAGTGCTAGAATAAAAAGTATGCACATACAGGTGCACTAAATTCAAGATCTCAGCTCACCTTCCTCTGTGGATAAATGGATACTCTCTCTTGTGTTACTTCCAAAGATCAGCTGTTGTCCTTCATCATCTGTACCGAAAAAATAGTCGTGGAAGGACTGAAAATTTGTTATAGATTAATATTACTTAAGAGTGTTAAATTCAGACTTTGTATGCTACTTCAAGCCAAAAATGAGCAATTCCCAAGACCCTTCTTTGAACTTTCAAGGACTTTACAGACCACTTATTAACTGAGAGTGAGGTCATTACAGGGAAATCTCAGACCAAGGCCTTCATGTATTGAGCGAGGTCAAAACATCACATGTAGGAATAAATAAATGTGGTGGATAAACACCACAGGCTGGCCTAAAACACTACATTACTATGCGGTACGCTTCAACAACTACATTCAATGTCCAGTTGAAGAAAACAGCTTAATTACCAAGGGAAAAGTTTAAGCTGGGGCTTCCACTGTATGCACCTTTTCCTGTGGTTTCTCCTGATGTGTTAGCACAGTTAAGTAGCATCTACTTACCACGATTGAAAGGAACATCGAGTTGTGGAATGTTCTCATGAGCTGCAGGCTGCTGGTTTGGATGTTCATCAACTGGAGGAACATTCACCTCATCTGTGAGTGCAGCAATAGGATCTGCTAACAGGTCTTCTTCTGGATCAGCCTGATGACTCAGGATCACTGGTAACTCATAATGATGGAAGAAGAACAACATGGAATGCTGTTGAAAAAGTAAGGTGGTCGAAAGCAAGTTAAATCTTTAAAATTACTAAAGCATAATATTACAGTCAACTCCCGATAATTCAAAATTTCAAGGGAAACAGAAAACAGTTCGAGTTATCGGGAGTTCGAGTTATCCAGGGTAAAATTATATTGAAAATGATCTGAAGGGAATTGAAAATTGCTTCAAGTTAGCAGGAGGTTCGAGTTATAGAGGGTTCGAGTTACCGGGTGTCGACTGTATGTAGAATGGAAGTTTAGGTCTTGTTAAAGGAGTGGAGTGCAAGTGCAAAGCACAAGGGCAGAGCACAGAGCACAGAGCATGACATTATTTAGCGATTCTCCTTAATTTATGCTCAACATTCTCCTTGGTGTTCAGTGACTAATCACCTGTTGAAACACATGGTAAAGTTTACAATAGACCCAAAAGTTGGGACTCCACCAACCTTTCCACAACTACCTTTATTTTCACAACAATTATAAGTAAATGACTCAAGTACCTGTATAAATAGCCATGAAGTCACCAATGCAAGTCCACTGTATTGTCCATTGAAGCGATAATGATAAGCATAAAATGCAAAGTGATACAAGTAGAAAAACCTGTGAAAAGCAGTCAAAAAATACATCAAACCATTGTCATAGGTGGATCATTACTTTTCAATCACAGATTCACCTCATTAGGCCAGTAGCAAAATTAAGGATCCTATCACAGCTGGGGAAGTCTTTAGATACAGCGTATGCCTATGGACTCCCTTCTTACTCCAACTCAGAAAGAAAACTATATAAATTCAAGAAGCAACACCCCGCTTCCAAATGTACATTTACCAGAAAATAGTGGATCATTACATGGGTAAATTGGGAAACAAAGGACATTATAATATTCAATCTTCAACCCTGCATCCTCCCTCCATTCAAAACTGGAGCACATGTTGTTTCCTACAAAACGGGTATAAAATGGTAAATTCAAGACTTTGCAAGACCCGGGTTTGAAAATTCGAGACCAAAACTTAAAAAAAATTAGAGACTCTGACAAGCAAAATCACCCGAAAACGAGAGTCAGAGACCTACCACAAATGCTTCTGAGAGTTCGAGATTAGGCCAAAATTTTCCGAGAACCATGTTTTAAAAAGAACCGTTCTATACCCCTTACAGATAGCTCAAACAGCAGCACAAAATTACTTGGAGGGAGTAGGGGAAAACTTTCTCCCTTTTGAAGTCAACAAATGTCAACAAAGCCCTTTAGGGCAAAGAGCCTTACTCAACTATTTGTCACCGACTGCAGGTGAAATATCTGTAAGGTTTAACCTTGGATTTTGCGCAAAAATATGGGGAAGCTTCAAATGGATAGTTCTAAAATTTAGCAGATAAATGAATGAATTTTCCCAAACCTGAGCCAAAACTTTTTACTCTGTTGTGTGTGGCAGCAAATAGCATCATACTGATCAGCTGTCCATACAATAAGAATGATATAAAAGCTTGTTGTGGTGTCATTAAAGAATTCTGACATAATAGCTTCCATTCCTGTGGACAAATAGTAAAAATCAATGAGCAAAGAATACAGTCACATTCAGAGACGAGGAGCAGTAAAACTCTTTATGCAAAGATAAACAAACACACACAGAGCATTAAGCAAAAAACTTGAAATGCAGGTTTTTTTTAATTTTAATTATTTTGAGAAGCTTGGCAATGAGACTTTGGCAAGCACTAAGCATTATTTATTTTGAACAAAAAATTGTCCATACAGACATGTATAATTTATTGATGTAAAACTCATCTGATCAGCTTGAATAAAATTTCTTCCCATTTCAGAACAATTCAGAAAATTACCTTACCATTTTGTTTTCTTTTATAAATTCACAATCAATTTCTTAGGCCACCAACTTGGAAACTCTTTTCCAGATCAAGTTGTGAAGATGCTTATAATGGCCATTAACTAAGAAGGTGTTTTTACGTTTACTAAAACTGGGGATTTCCGAGTGTTATTGCCTAATTTTAAATCCAATTCAGACAAATAAGCTTACCCACAAGAGACAGGATCACTGTAAAAAGCGGAGCTGCTGGAAAGGCTATTGTCACATTCAGATCCAGCATTTGAAGCAGGTTTACTGACAAAAAGAAATAACACTTCGTTAACACAGTGTAACTGCAACTCAAAAAGAAGAAGCTCTAGCAGACGAAGGTGCAGCCCCAACTGCATCTCTCATCAAACTTTCCCGTGTAACACCACTTTAATATTAGGGAGTTTAAGATGCCACAAAGATGATAAAAACGAGAACGTCAAAAAAGCGGTAAGCTGAATAGGCAAAACAAAAACTCTGCACATGCTTCACACTTTTTTGGACATTTCACTGCCATCACTGCACAACTATGACTTGAAAATACCTAACATGTACTTTCACATCACATTTTATAGGGATGTGAACCAGCAACAACGAAATTATCTTTCTTTTTCTCAACTTGGAAATAAATAATTCATAGGAATATAACTCCAAGAGACTTGGCTTGCATTTGACAAAGTGAGCCAGTTGGAATAACTGCGGTGAGGATTGAAAGAACACGAAATCTAATTCTAAGCGACATCTTCGCCGCCATAGCCGTCCTAGTATTTTAAACTCCCTATTAGCTGTCCCTGTGACACAGTTTTTGTTAGGGCTTTCTCTTTTCTGCCCTTCCTTGAAGTTAAAGGCTCATCCGCACTCCCCTTGCTCCACCACACTTCCATGTTGGATGCACTCCTTATTTGAAATTACTACCAGTATTACAATGTAACAATAAAATTTAGGGACAGCCTTAAGCAAAAAATAGGTTAGACTTACCAATAAACACGAAGATCTGGTGATGACAATACCTCAAAAGCATAGATATTGAAATAGTCTGAAAAATTAAAACAGTGTAACACATAAGTGGTACTCACTAGAAACTTCTCTATATTCAGCCTTTCAGGTTACCGGTCTCCTGTGTTGGGCTATAGCAATAACAGATCTGTACCACTGCACCATGTCAAAGTCAATGTCAATCATAATCTCAATTTCGCAAAGCATCTTCCCATTTGATTAATAAATGTCATGCAGAAAAATATTTTAAGTTGTAGAAACCAACAAAGCTGCATCCTTCAATAAAACTAACCATGTTTTACAAAATAATGGAAATAAACCCTTGTACAGAATCAGAAAGGCTGCATATAATAAATGTCTGTTATACAGCAGCTGCTGTTCAAATTAATTTTATGCTTGGTTTAAATTTTCATTGTCCAATAATTGTTTTTGGGTATGGTGATATTGAAAACAATGGAAAATAAGATTTAAAACAAGGACTAAATTGAACCACAACACAAACAAGTAGAAACTAACTCCTTGTTCATAATGTTTGACAAAAGAAAAAACTTACAAAAATGAACATGAGAACTAAGGCCACAAGGTATGAAGTTCGAGCCATCCACATGCTAACAAACCTAAAGTGATCTCCTGTGACAACATTACGCAAATAACCTGCCAAAAAAGATGTATGCTGTAGAACCTGATGGGTAAATCACAAGTGACGGTAAAGTAGGTCTCGTAAAGGGCTGAAGTCATTGTTAAAGGCTGAAGTCTGGGGAAAAATAATATCTAAAAGGCACTCTACGGCTTCGAATCTTTAAAAACCAAGGACTTCAGCAGCATATTTACGTTTAATGTAAAACTCAGATTTTACAAAAGAAAGTCACCAGTTGTCAGCGGTGTACAGCCCTGCAAGCTCAAACTCACTAATCAACAAAACCACTAACCAACTACTAAGTGACCGACCTTTGTTTCCCAAAATGTTCACTGTGAAAAGACCCTGATAGATTTTTAGAGTAAAGGCAGACTAAAATATTATTAGTCTAAGACAGCTTGTAACAAAGAAAATAATAGCACCAATCAAGTAACATCAGTCTCCCCAGTGACCTATTCAAAACATTACATTCAATACACAATGTACCTTTGTTATCCTCGTATTCAGCCAGTCTCTTGACACTTGACATTAGTACATCATCATACCCAAGGAACTCATCCAATAAAAACCGGCTTAAAGCATCACCAAAACACTGCTCCACAGCAGGGTCTAAACAGAAAGAGTTTGGATGATTACACAGTGGCAGATCCAGGGTGGAGAGTCTAGGGGATTTACTGCTGTAAACCATCACTTTCCCCTGCCCCACCCCAAGAAAGGCTTGATCCACAACAGGTCTAAACAAAAACAGCCTCCTTAGACAGTGGCAGATCTATGGGAGAGGCGCAGTGGTGAGAGCAGTCAACTCCCACCAATGTGGCCTGGGTTCAAATCCCGGCATCGATACCAAATGTGGGTAGAGTTTGTTGTTGTTTCGCTCCTTTGCTCAGGGAGGTTTTTTTTTCCAGGTACTCCAGTTTTCCCCTCTCATCAAAAACCAACCCTTCCAAATTCCAATTCAGCAAGGAATCAGGTAGATGAAGAACCACTTTGTGGATGTGCTATCTCAAATAAAATCAAAATTTAATTTATTTATTTAGGGTCAGAGAGTTTAATAAAAGAATCACCACCCACACCCGCAGTGGGGGGGGTACTTTAGGAATTTCTGGGTGGGGATGTGCCGATGGGACCCTGGAACCCTTAACCTACATATGTATACCAGAGCTAGTTCAGCTAAATTTTGCTACCCTATACTAGAGTAAACTCCCCAGATCCCCCTATCCTAGAGTAGCTGTTTCCCTAGTCTAGATAAAATCTTCAACCAACTGATCAGTTTCCTGAAAAATGATACCCTATTCTAGACCCAAACGCTCTGATTTATATACCCTATCCTAGAGTAAACTGCTTGAAAACCACACCCTTCACAGCGGCACATACCTATATAGCTCATGTATGGCAGTACCCCCCTCCCATCGGGCCCACACTCATTTCATTTTTTTTTTTTTCATTTCAAAAACTTATAAGGCGCAAATATCCATATAAATATATTCAAACGTGCCATAGGGGAAAAAAAACAAAAACAAAAACAAAACAAAACAATAATACTACTAATAATAAAAATTATGCATAATTATGATAGTAAAAATGATAAAATAAGATGATAATATAGATATAGAATAGAAAAACTAATGGCTAAAAGTTAAAAAGATAAAATCTGTTAGCAAAATCTTAAAAATTATAAGCTGAAAATTATTTGTAGTCTAGTATGCTTAAAATACAATCTTATAATCTAAGTGGTACAAATGCTTTTATAAAAAGGTGAGTCTTCAACTTTCTCTTCAAAGTGTCAACTGAAATGGATTCCCTAACAAATCTTGGCAAAGCATTCCATAGCTTAGGTGCAGCAAACAGAAAGGCCCGTTCACCGAGAGTTGCCTTGGGCTAACATTTGGATAACTAAGTAGGGTACTGTCACTAGAACTTCTTAAATTATATTTAGATACAGGCTTAGGAGTAATTAAAAATCTTAAGTATGAAGGTGCTAAGCCCTTAAAAATCTTAAAAACAATCAACAGGATTTTAAATTCAATTCTGAACTTTACAGGCAGCCAATGTAAAAATACTAATAAAGGAGTAATGTGGTAACCATCCAAAAATACTCCACAGCCAGGTGTGAACAACCGAGTACATGTACTTGAGTCCATACAGACATGATTGTCACCTTAAAATATAAAACTGAAAATAACAGAGGTCCTAAACTATTCCTACCCCTCTTCAATTTTGATACGTGTAACATTCACACACGGCTGACATTAGTAGCAGACAGCCTGCTTTTTTGCTGACTACTGCAGAAAAATCAGCCAGCCACATACATGTATACTCTAGGTTTGAGAACAAATCAAACATAAGGAATGGGAAGATTCATCAGATAGATCACTGGCTACTTTCCCTGAGACACCAGCCATTATAAAACCTTAATGACAACCCTGCACTCAGTCAAGGCTGTGCTCTAAGAAAAATTGTTCTGAACCTGTGAAATTCAACTGTGCCCAGCATGTGAAAAACTAACATTTCTTAGTCCTCCAGGAGCAAACAGTGATTTTGCTACAAATAGTTATGTTCAGTTCTCGGACTCATCATCTACTTCAAAGCACAGCAAAGGCTAAAAGACACATGCATCATTTAACAACAGCCATAATACAGTGTAACTGCCACAGAAGTTACACGAATGGGCTGGATACATGTATTTCTACAACTACACATGTTCAGATCAATCAGTAGTGATCTTTGTGCCCTACAGGACACATGCCATGAACTATTTTGCATCTTTGGGGATTTTTAAGCATCAGGGACGCAGGATGCAGAGGTAACAAAATCACTGAGCAAGGTTTCTCGTTAACTGACCACCTACCCCTAACCTAAGTCACAATCTTTCCCTAAGTGAAAAATGAGTGTGAATGTTGACTTAGGTGAGGGGTTGGTGGTCAGGAGTAGGTGGTCAGGTGGTCATCTGGTACCACCAGAACAAAGTCCTGCACTAACACATTCAACGACCTGTCACAATAATCTACAGATAAAGAACTTACCCAGTTCCACAAGCAACACGGGAATGCCAAGTTTCTTCCTGGATTCCGGTGACAGCCGCAAGAAGCCATATTCCAATGCATACTCTACAGCATACTCTTCTTTTGTTTCCCCTACACAAAGCAACATTAGGAGTAGTTTTATATTACATGTATTATTAATCCCTCCCCTGCAGATAATCATCTGCCAGAGAAGAATTGCAAATAAGTTTTCTTTTTTTGCATACATCAACAGCTGTATATCCAAGGTGGTCACCATTACATGTATTTTGAGCAAGACAACCAGAAAATGTGTTGGACATACATGCACATTACATAATATTAATTTGACTTTTAATTTCTCCAGTCACTACATGTATGTGTTACAGGTCAATTTTTTAACCTACAGTAGGTTGATTCTCGTTTTCCTTTGTCTCGTAGCCCTAATTAGTCATGAATTAGGGCTACGAGGCAAAGGACGAGAATCAACCTAGGTTAAAAAATTTTAACCTGAATTTAACATATGCAAATCTCGAGCTACAAAATGATAGTCTTAAGTCACCTTACACCAAAAGTTAACAACAACAATTTTACATATGAATATCACTTCAAACAGATTACAAGGAATAAAAAGAGAATCAAAAGGAATCAAAGTAAAAACTGTGGCGAACTTGTACTGTAAATAGATTGTCTTTTTGTTTCCTTTTTTTAAAAAAAGAATTCATGTGATAAAATAAAGTATTTATTAAAAGAATTCAATTGCAGGATATAGTATTCAGACACTACTATTGCAAATAACCTTTCAGCGAAAAATAAGTGAAAAACAACATAATATTATAAAAACAGTATTTTAAATATCATTTCCGAGCCAAAGCATGGTAACATGATAGTCTTGACCATAGTCTTGAGCATGGGTAGAAAACATGTAGAGAAATACACCTTGAGTTATTATGAATTTGTCAGTTGGCTCTCATTGACAGTAATATTTTAGACTGTCAGTTGAGAAATGGCCTTACTGTCTTTTTATTTATCCATCTGTATGCATAACTAGCTGGATTTTTGGCATGAAATGGCTTAGAAGACGACTTTTTGGCAGAGATTGTAATTCATTTCTTGACCGCTTAAGCCCTTCTAGAGACCACACTGCAAAGATTCACAGGTTTGGGGTATAAACAGTTACGTTAACCTCGCTATTATTTTATTGACAATGGTCTTCCTTTGTCATGTTACTGTAAATTTAAACAGTCCCAGCAGTGCTTATGATCGAGATACTCGCAGTGTAGAATGTATATTATACACGACCTACAGTGACGTTTCTGCAGCGGACAAGAGCATGACAACCTCATTCCCAGGGGTTCTCTCATCACAAGGTGGTGTGAGTGAATACACAAATGATGTTGCTCAAAGTACACTTCGGCAATAACACAACATGTCGTTTTCATATCGGGCCACTTCGGAGCCAGCTGACCTGAGTCCACAAGTAAGTGAGTGACTCATTTGCATATCGCATTCCACAGCAATAACTTGTGAAATGTCCTTCGGGCATTTACAAGTTAAAAAGGAAATACCATAAAATTCCGAAAATAAGCCCCAGGGCTTATATTTTTCCAAGGCCCTTTTTGAGGTGCTTATTTTTGGAGGGGCTTATATTCGAAGGGGCTTATCTACGGAGGGAAATTTGGGTTTCAAAATCGATTGGGCTAACCTTATAGTTGGAAGTAAATTTACCATTTTTGCTTTGTTTTACTTTGTATTTGAGGGCCATTTTCCAAGTACAAGCCCCCGGGGGAACTTATATTTGGAGGGGCGAAAAAACGGAGGGTTTTTTGCGTTGCCAGTTTGGGGGGCTTATATTTGGAGGGGCTTATACATGAAGGGCCTTATTTTCGGAATTTTACAGTATTTCACCCAACCTGCAGTTAGTTTAAGCTAATTGTGGCAGGGGAATAAAAGGACAAGTATATGTAAGTGTTTTATGACCTACCTTCCACTTTGATCGGTGCCAGCAGTTCAAAGGCACTAGGTACAACAGTGTCTCTAACTGGAAGAGGATTCTTTTGTGGCTTACCATCTGACAAATGACTGTAAACATCTTTCACAGAAGACGAATTCTCTTGATCTGATATAACATCAGCTCCTAATTGACTAATATTTACATGCAAAGGTTCTGAAATATTGCTGTTAGAAGCATTAGTTCTTGTTGTATCATTTTCTGATAATCTGCTCACAGCAGCACTTCTTGAAATAACTACTCTAAGGACTCCATCTCTTGGCCATTGATCCTTCACATGATCCAAGCAGTTAATAGGAGTCCTTGAAAATGCATTGTGTATATATGCTAATATCACAAAACAAGTCATCGCCTGGAAAACAAAAGAAAAAGAGAAAACATTCAAACTGTCAAACTGTAATATAACCATGAAAAGCTTAATATTATGATTATTACTGAGGCCAGTTAGGGTAAAAGTATTGTATGGACAAGTTAACACTATGACTCATATATGAAAGTTAACACACATACTGTACATGTACTAGTTGTAGATCTCTAAGGCCATTTTTAAATTTTAAAAACCGTTGATATTTTGCGGCATTTTTTTACATCAGAAGTAATTATTTTAACTGGAAACGTTCCCAAAGAGCTAGCACTTCAAACACCAGGTTCTCTATCACTGTACGGTGGCCAATCTGCCCTATTAACCAGTTAATAAAAACAAATCTTTACATTTCATTCTTCCACTGATACAATACCACAGTTTCAAATTAATCAGATTACAGTCACACAGTTGAGAACAATATTTCTCACAGTCGTTTGTTTTTACGTATGATGTTTACTTCCTGTTAGTTAAAGCCCTGAGAGGTAAGATAATTCTTGAAATCCACTTTTAAACTGAGTGCATGACTGGTTTACAAAGGGGCTTAAAATATATGAAATATTAACCACCTTGTACTAGCTGATCCCAACAAACAAAATACAACAACAAAACCACATTTAAATCTTTAAACGAAATATGGTAGCAAAACGGTGAACAAGCTGTAACTTTACTTTTATGAGCATCACTGATAAGTCCCAAAGCTGGGAAATAACCATATATCCCAGAGTACAGTACTGTTCCAAAATGAACATTGTGCTAGTAACAGTAACGTTTTCTTAGTTCATACAAAAGATTGACCCAGTTGTAGACGAATAAAACAATATAAAACTATGAAAGGCTGCATATAAAATAATTCAAAAAACCAAAATAATTAAAATCGACTTTAAATATTCTGAGAATAATTTTTGGTCAAAATTCAAACTTGAAAGTCACGAAAAAGTAGGATATTGAACACCAGATATATTTTCATACCGTAAAGCACCAAGTAACGGCTACATTTGCGACTGATTTGCGACTGTACAGGCCATCGTTCGCATGATTATTCTAATTTTAACATTCAGAAATCATGCAAGGTACTATACTGGTTTGTAATGTGGCCATTACAGGCTATTAAACTTCACGCTTCGTGGCGATTCTAATGTGAGGCTAGGTATTAATGAGCTACAGATGTGTCCTGCGATTCTGCTGTTTCCAAGTGCTGGCTGATTATGCCACCAAATTTTTGTTTTAACCAATTTCAAAACAGCTGTGCACACGTAAACATTTCTCTTGAACATCCGGATTTACAAACAAATATATTAACGCACCTTCATGAGAACTCCCATCTCCAGAAGAAGACGAACTGGAGGAGGAAAAGAGCGAGCATACATGAGCGCCATTTTAAAAAACAGGGCGCGGAATAGCCTATCTCTGGCGTTTATGAGCGGATTTGTCCCTTCCACGGGCATGATGACCTTCCAGAATAACTGAGCAATACTTCAGGTCCCTATCATTAAAAATACAGAAGCCCTAAGCGTTTTACGACTACAACACGTCGCCATGTTCACGACCAAAACCCATCTTACGTGCTGGATTATCTTTGCGATGAAAAGCTTCATGTTTTGATGACGTATTTGGACCCAGATCGCTAGAGAAATCACGGTCGAGATTTACCTCCCTGTGCTCGCGCCAGTAGCACGTGACTGTCACACGAGGCATGGAACTTTTCAAATTTCGACATCTCATTCTGTGCAAATCAGATCGCTTTAATAGACATCATGGCCGTAAAAAGCGTGTTTTTGCTGGCTGCTTTCCTGACCGGCTGTGACATCATAACCAAGGTCGCTGCAGTGCAAAAAAACACAACGGTATTAATTCTTGGAGGCGGGATTTCAGGAATTGCTGCAGCAAAAACACTGAGCGATCATGGAATTAAGGATTTCATAATCTTGGAAGGAACGGACAGGATCGGCGGACGAATGAGAAAGATGGAGTTTTTTAACAACACCATTGAGCTGGGAGCAAACTGGATTCAAGGAGTCAAGAACAACCCCATTGAAGATTTGGCGCTAAAATGTGGATTAAAAGGAAAGGCTGAGGTCAGATCTTTTGTGATACGAAATGAAACTGGATACAACACAACAATGAAAGGGAAAATGGCGCAACTGAAATATGATGAAGAAGTCCTGGATGAAATACGACTCCAGCGTCGAAAGTTACACCAGGCGGATATTTCCATGCGCGTAGCGTTGCGGCTTGCAAACTGGCTTCCGCTCACACCGGAAGAAGATGCTACAGAATATTTTGAATATGACTTTGAATACGCTGTCCCTCCCAAATACATCTCGTTAAGAACATGGATCGCGGATAATGGGAGTATTCACTCGGTTGGTGGCGAGCAGTTCTTTGTAACCGATCCCAGGGGGTATGTTCACATTGTGGACTGTCTTGCGGATATGTTTCTGGAACCAAAGGATCCACGGCTGCAATTGAACACAACCGTAACGGAAGTGAAATGGAATGAGAACGGTGTTTACGTCACTTCCGACAATGGCGATGTGTACTCTGCAGATTACGCTCTGGTCACATTTAGTATTGGTGTACTGAAAAGTGGACTTGTTAAATTTACACCTCAACTGCCCAACTGGAAATTGGAGGCGATTTTCAAGATCAACATGGTCGTCTATACCAAAATTTTCTTAAAATTTCCAGAGAAATTTTGGGACGATAACGAGTACATTCTTTACGCTTCCAAAAGAAGGGGTTATTATACCATGATGCAGAATCTAGAAGCGGATTCGCGTTTACCAAAAGGAACCAATATCCTTCTGGTTACTGTAACCGGAGACGAATCGGCCAGACTGGAATACCAAAGTGATGAGCAAACACAGGAAGAAATAATGGAGGTACTGAAAAACATGTATGGTCCAAATATCCCTGAGCCACTTGGTATCCACTACCCTAAATGGGGGCGGGATCGATATTTCTTCGGATGCTGGTCAAACCTTCCGATCGGAATATCGAGCGACGATTACGTCAATCTTCAGAAGCCAGTCGGGTCTGTATTTTTCTCGGGAGAGGCCACGCACGAGTTGTACAATGGTTACGTTCATGGTGGGTACATAACAGGCATGCAGCAGGCAGAGAAGATAGCTATGTGTGTGCAGAAAGGTTCGTGCAACTAGAGGAAATGTTGCAGAGAAACCAGAATCTGCGAAACCCATCACTTTATGCCCAGAGATGAAACGTTAATCTGATCAGAGCATCTTGATTGACTGCGAATATAGTAGACTGATTCGAACATTTAATCAGTGCGATCATTTCTTCGCCCGCGAAAATTGGTTTGATCAGTTGTTCTAACCACAGCAGGATTAGCTCAGTCGCAGAGCGCTTGACTGCCGCTCAGCAGACCAGCGCTTTAACAACTGAGCCGTAGGCGAATCTCATCTTGCTATTCTTAAGGTGCTTCTCATTGTTTTTTCGATTAAGTTCTCTTTGAATCTGTTACGTTGTTGCAAAACATATCGTTCCCTTGTTCATTCTTCACAACAAAGTTGTTTCAAAATAAGCCAAATATGAGCCTCTTACTGAGTACTTTATTTCCAGGGAAAGATTCGGGTTATTTTTGCCATCCCCAAGAAGTTAAATCTTTTGTGACGAACCTTATAATGTTTGCGTTACAGATCAAGAGTCGGTAACCAGCTGAGTGCGGACTAGGCCCTCTCATTTAGTAGGGCACTGTCCCGGGTGCCTCTAGTCAGGGCTTTTTTTCTGCAGCTGAAAAAGTTGCGTTTATATCTATAACTGCGTTAATCTTCTTTACATTTAACTCCTCGTCCGAATTTCTGATCTAATATATGAATTTCATACCGGCATTAAGGGACTGGTCAAAAAGTATAGGGGGTGGTGGGCTGGAGCATTTGAAATGTAATTGATAAAAAACACATGGCCCACCCCCTCCCTTCGGCACAAAAATGACTGACCCAACCCTAAAGCAAGATTGGAAAACCGGAGACGAATCGGCCAGACTGGAATACCAAAGTGATGAGCAAACACAGGAAGAAATAATGGAGGTACTGAAAAACATGTATGGTCCAAATATCCCTGAGCCACTTGGTATCCACTACCCTAAATGGGGACGGGATCGATATTTCTTCGGATGCTGGTCAAACCTTCCGATCGGAATATCGAGCGACGATTACGTCAATCTTCAGAAACCAGTCGGGTCTGTATTTTTCTCGGGAGAGGCCACGCACGAGTTGTACAATGGTTACGTTCATGGTGGGTACATAACAGGGGTGGAGCAAGCAGAGAAGATAGCTATGTGTGTACAGAAAGGTTCGTGCAACTAGAGAAATGTTGCAAAGAAACCAAAATCTGCGAAACCCATCACTTCATGCCCAGAGATGAAACGTTAATCTGATCAGAGCATCTTGAGTGACTGCGAATATAGTAGACTGATTCGAACATTTAATCAGTGCGATCATTTCTTCGCCCGCGAGAATTGGTTTGATCAGTTGTTCTAACCATAAGGAGGATTAACTCAGTCGGGGAGCGCTTGACTGCCGCTCAGCAGACCTGCGCTTTAGCAACTGAGCTGTAGCCGAATCTCAACCTTCTATTCTTAAGCTGCTTCTCATTGTTTTTTTCGATTAAGTTCTCTTTGAATCTGTTACTTTGTTGCAAAACAGCTCGTTCCATTGTTGATTCTTCACAGCAAAGTTGTTTCAAAATAAGCCAAATATGAACCTCTTCCTACTTTATTTCCAGGGCAAGATTCGGGTTATTTTTGCCATTCCCAAGAAGTCAAATCTTTTGTGACGAACCTTGGAATGTTTGCGTTACAGATCAAGAGTCGGTAACCAACTGAGTGCGGACCAGGCCCTCTCATTTAGTAGGGCACTGTCCCGGGTGCCTCCAGACAGGGTTTTTTTTCCCGCATCTGAAAAAGTTGCATTTATATCTATAACTGCGTTAATCTTCTTTACATTTAACTCCCCGTCCGAATTTCTGATCTAATATATGAATTTCATACCGGCATTAAGGGACTGGTCAAAAAGTATAGGGGGTGGTGGGCCGGAGCATTTGGAAATGTGGCTGATAAAAAAGACATGGCCAACCCCCTCCCTTCGGCACAAAAGTGACTGATCCAACCATAAAGCAAGATTGGAAATTACAAGATCCACCCCCTAGTATTAAAACATGGATTTTGGGTTTCCTCTTAATAATCCAATAAAACCTTGTTCTGTGCATGACAAAATTTCTTGATACATTGCTACAACCAAAATCAAAATCACAGAAATCATACCTTTCTTTGAAAAGACAAAGGTGAAAAGCCGAACAGTTCTTGTTTCGATGGACGTTATGAGTCTTGACACAAATATACCGCAAAACAAGGGTATCAAAATTATCTGTAAAGCATATGAAAATTTCTACAAAGACAACCTATATTCCTACACATTACATGCTGGAAATGAAAATTAATTGAATTTAACCTCAAAGAAAAGTTCTCCTACTTTAATGGAAAGCACTACCTACAAACCCATGAAACTGCAATGGGCACAAAGACAGCAGTTTTCTTTGCCAACATTTTTATGGCATATATTGAAACAACAACTCTAAGCAAAACCGTCTTTAACCCAACAGTTTGGAAATGCTACATAGACGACATT